GTGAAGAGTTAACAAAGCACGAACCTAAAGTCCTTCAATAACAGAATTAAATTAAAAAAAAAAATTACACATTTTCGAAGTAACTGAAGGTCATTGAACTCACCAGACGGTGAATCTGGATATTATCACTCGTTCCAAAGAGTAGTATCTATAGGTGCTGAAGGTAGTGGTAAGGTAGGCTGATTGCAATTAGATGTTCGTCTTCAAATCTTCTACTTTACTTGCTACAGGGATGAGTACGGACTCATTCGCCCACATGCTTTGAGGACAAACTTGAAGACTTGAAAATGACTGGCACATTTTCAAGGTAGTCAAGTTGACTGAACTTCAAACTTCAAGTTTGAAGTTTGAAACGACAACTTCCGATCTTCGTGCCATACGAAACATTTTCTGCATTCTGACCACTATGATGGTGACCGTGTTAAGATTCTAATTAGAAAAATCAGAAATCCACATGCAGGAAAAGCGAAGAAGATTGGATTCCAAGATGGTAAATTGATACTCGACTTTTGGTACTATATTACTCATGCTCATGGCTCACAATGACTTATTTGTGACATGATTACAAAGTGTTTTCCGTTTTGTTAACGGATAAACAAACCGGAATGGGTTGACGCAAATTAGTTAACATTGTGTTATTATGTAAGTTGTGCATGCATAACACAGTTAGAGTTTGTTAGCATAGTATCTTCAATTCCATGTTTATATGATTACTCTAATCTTGTGATATATATGGCTTAGTTCTAATTAACTCTAGTTAACAAGTGTGGTTATGTAATTTCTTCATTTTTTTTGAAAAAGATTAAGTTTGGGAAGTAAAAAACTAATAATTTCAAACTTCTAGAACATGAGTAGTAAGAAGAAGAGTAAATAGTGAAATTTTGTAGTAGACGTTGAGTAGGAAGATAGGATAGACAGATTTCCAGTAGGTAGAGTTTGGCGTGCTCGTTCCAATTAGCCCAAGAATACTAGAAATGGGCAACGCAATCCTGAGTTGCGAAGGTATGCAGCTGAGAACATGCTTCAACGAAAGCATACTACCGCGAAGAGTCTTTGGACTTCGGCGTTAGTGCCTTCGATGTTACAAACGAAGAGTATTTGGCGAAGTATCTTCGGTGAAGTAAAAGACGGCGTCGAACGGGAAAAAAATTCAAACACTTGTAGCGTCAATTCGCACAAATTAACGATGTCGTTAGAGTGGCCAATTACATCAAGAGAAATGCAAATTCAGCACAGACATTTCACGAGAGTGCATTCGCGAATTGAGAGGTTAGCGAGGTCCGCGAATGAGAAATTGAGCAAGCAACAATGGGGCGATCTTTGGGACTTCAATTATCAGCGTTGAAGGTGTCGGAATTGAGATTGATAGCATATCGCAATGAGTTGATAGCTGCCAAGCTCGAGTTCTTGTTGTGGGGATGGAATTGGGTTTGCGCGGCGATGGTGCAAGAGTGGCACGACGGACGCGCGTCGAAAGCTGAGGGACTCCGTGGCAACCCAGCAATCTGGACTATTGAGGATTGGGCAAAGATCTTGGGACCGTGCGCTAGAGAAGATGGAGATTACACCTTCGACAACAATAGTGTGAAGATGACCCGTGCAAAAGAGAAGACTTTTGCACTGCTATTCAAGAAATCACGTTCTTGCAAAAACGGGTACCAAACGACGAAGTATGGTGATCGGATGCGCAGGAATGTAGCGATGGCTTTGATGCAAATCCTTTGGCCTTCGCGAACGACTTACATGGTGACATGGAAAGTCGGATTTGTGGAGCACACTGTGGCTGGAAAGTCTATACACTGGGCACGCATCCTGTGAGCAACTACACGCCGGCACATCGGCGAGTCATTTAAAGGATCAATGAGTAATTTGTCCCCGTTCTTGATCAACTTTTATAGAAGGATGGTTTTGCTGATTACAGCCGAGTAGAAGCAATTTTTGCTCGAGACGGAGACAGAAGATGACAAAGAGGCGCTGGAAGACAATGAAGTTGCCAGCGAGGAGGATGACATCGCACTGGCATTGCCTTCGGCCAACGTTGACAAATCGGAGGAATCAGTGGAGAAACGCCCAAAGAAGAAATTGCAGCATGTCACGACTTCACAGTTAATTGATCCGCGAGCAGAGTTGCTGGTTCGAAGGCCAATTCCTACAAAGATGAGAATGTGCGTGCTCGTAGTAAGATGAAAGCACGGCGGCCGCGGATTGAGGAAGAAGACAGCACTAAGTGTAGTGAGAGTTGAAAATCTTTGGAAGAGTGGGCCGAGATTAAACCGGACGAAGCAAGTCATGACAAGCACTTGCTTCGTCGACGAATGGCCATTGGCGGAGGACCTTCGACCTTTCGAGTGGAGACATTTGGCGGTGCTCGAGGAAGATCCGTAGGAGGAAGTAGAAGAGCAAGGAGGTGATACGGAGGTGAAGACCTTGAGTCAGGGACTTCAAACTCCGGGACAACGTCCGTGTACACGCCTTCGGTTAAGATGTATTCGGGGGTAGCAGTGGAGTTAGCAGACACGGCGGAGGACCCCAATTTGCTGGAAGAGCTCGAAGATCGTGTAGTGAAAGATGTGGGGAGAACTATGACGGAGCAACCGCCGATGACTTCAGGTCAGGTGTCTTCGGGTATAGTCGACTTGGATTGTGGCGAACGGCCTTCGGCTGAAGAACCCAAGTCGGCCGGACTTAGTGCAGCGGACATGTTAGATGATCGAGTGATTCCCTTGCTCAGATACTTGGATAGAAAGATGGCGAAGTACACTGAGCTAGCAATAGCGGGATCCTACGTAGAGTTAGTGCGTACCAGGACGCGGGCGAGGGTAGCAACATCTGTGGAGATAGCCGAAAGAATGGCGAGCTTGACCTTCTGAGTGCGCGACCGGAAAGGCTACCTTGCAGGAGCAAAAGAAGTATATTGTTCTCTCAACATGAGGTAAGGAAAAGATTGTTGATGTTAATTTTTGTTTAGGAGTAACCTCAAATCTAGCTAAATTTAGCTAGGCAGAGTCGTCTTTGCTTGGGATATTTAAACCCTAGCATAAACAACCCTGGGACTTTTAACACCATGATCTTTTGCATTATCACTTCTTTTTAGATTGATCAACACTTTCTTCCGTGAGGTTTCCTATTATGGACATAGTCGTTACAAGAGTGAATCAGATTACATCTGCCTTATTGTAATTCTATGCTTGCTATCGACTTCTTCTAACTGACACTTGTATTTACTTAATATTAATTCTCGGATTATCAATAACTATGTCAAAAGAAGCACATCTTACAAACAAAAAGTGCTTATATTTTCAATGTTCATCCAAACTTTTGTCGAAAGTCAAAGCATTCCAAACTTACATCGGAATTGGTAGCTTAAATATCATTTGGTGGTTTTATATTGGATTTTTATGAAAAAAAAAACATAATAGATGTGAAAAAATATTTTTGAGATTATAAATTTTCAATACAAGAATCTTATTATCATAACTATTTTGAAACTGATTACAGTAATTTCCTAATATCAAGTTTAAATTTATTGTTGAATAACGTTTTTGAGATTTATTTGTTTGAGTAAATCTCTCACATGTGAGAGGAGTACTACTACCAACTATTCATTTGACCAGGAGTTGAAGAAGTCACATTCAGCTTCTCCGGTAAACTTTGAGTTTTAGTAGTTTTGTTTATTAGTTTTCTTTCCACTTAGTTTTTGTATCTTTTGTCTTGAAGCTTTTCAATAAACAAATAATAGTCAGCTCTTGGCAATTTTCTCACAAATCTTGAACTGTAACTTGTTGTGTATCATGTGTACTTCATCTTGTTTCTATGAGTTTTTTTATTCTTTTTTATTCTTTTTTATATTGTACATGAATTTTAATAAGAGCTCATGGTATTTAATGTCAAAGTAGGCATTATACTTCTCATTCCTCCTGCATTATACATTACCATGCTAAACCAACTGAGAAAACCTTGTTGTTACTTGTTTTCTGTTATTTCTTCGTTACAAACTCTTTGTAGGTTCTAGGGCTATAACTCTTTCTTTTTCTTGGATACCTTTTTCTTGGGATATATAATATATCCCAAGCTTTGTATGTTTTAGACCCGTTGCTTCGAGTGGGAAATGTTATCTAGAATCTGAACCTAGTGTTGCGAATCCGAACAGAAAAATAGAATGGTAACAACTATCCTATTTTAGGGTACTTATCACCAATGATATATCATAGTCAATTGTTCCAACAAAGTTTTCAATATCGTAAACATCTTGTTAGAGTTTTTGGTTGAAGTAATTTTGCTTGATATTTATGTATGTTTGGTTGTCTTTTCAAGTTTTTAAAGTGCAAGTCCTGGTTCACTAGTTTTCAAGATACCGAATCAAATTAATGATGGTGACTATTTGATTGTGTTTCCTTGGATCGAACTTAAACTTCTTGCAGCTGAGACAGTACATTGAGCTTTGTAGAGTAATTAACGTATTATCAATTGGACATGTTGAAGGACGAATGAAGAGGGGAAGAATCTGCAATCTGTGTCGGGTGAGCTTGACCTGGGCTCCCGTGGTGTGTCTTTACCAGATTGCAAATTTCAACTCGACAAAAGTGTGACTTCATTAATTTGACAATGGAAAATATTGAAGAGGAAGCACCCGCTTCCTCCTAAGATACAAAATCTTCATCTGAGCCTGCTTATGGTAATTCGAAAGCTCCTATGGCTTCTCTTTCATGTTCGTTCCTATTCCACACCCGTGGAGTTTCTCGTCATTTTCAGCATTTTTAGATAAATTTTCAGGAAAAATTTCATTTGTGGGTCGTCACAGTTGACAAAATGCAAGTATATTTTATCTTAGCTACATCCAATCATGTATGTTTTCATCCATTTCTTCCAGATTATCGAGGGAAGATTCGTGCCAAATTCGAGAGATAAAACTGTCTACTCACATATTACTCTTAAAAGAAAATACTATTCATGAGACTACATCGCTTTTCTTACTCAACTATTGCATGGAAGGCTCCGATGTCATTCTGCCTGTTATTGGACGTTGCAAATCAGTTCGCAGTACTGAGTGGTGCGAGCCTTTCGCATCGAGAAGCTGGAGAAATTGTTAGATTTTTACTGTGGACTTTTGGGTATGTATAGCATTTATTTTACAGTTATGTCAGTCTAAGAATTGCCAATCTTTCTCCTCTGGGGTGCTAGAGGCCAAGTCATTTGAAGTAAAAGGTTCCCTCAGTGTTCGACGACGCGTCCGGAGAGCTACACATTTGAACAATCCAGACTTCTCATTCGTACCGCGGGGGATGAGTCCGGAAGGAAAGGCACCAATTGTAGAAACTGGATCGATACTCTTTGGGCATCCCGCTTGTGGTACATTTTGAAACAGTCTCTGATTGTGCTCTTGCTAGACACTGATCAATGTATACCAGAAGCCAAGGATGTCCTACGCACGACCACTTTATCCACCGGTTTCCAATGGGATGAATGTCCAAATCGAGGGGTTCAAATATATCTCGAACCAGGGAGTTGCCTCACACACCGCTAAGTAGTACAGGAGTACCTGGGAACTTGCATTGGCTCTGATCTAGATAGCACCATTCCTTCTGCAAAACCTAACCGTGCCGTGACGAAGACTCATAAGAAGAAATTCAACCAATACCAATTTGCTTCACAAAGCGCAAGCCTTCAGAAGCGCGGGTATTTTATAATCCTCGTCATCGCAGGGCACGACTGGGGACTAGGGCGCTAACACGCGCTAACAGTTTGGGAGAACACTAACAATTTCTTCAAAGATTCAGATAGAGTGCATTCACCTTTACCTGAGCGGACCGACATTTAATCCAGATCTGATCAAACAACAGTCAACCCAAAATCTGCAAGACTAATCACCGCGGGTGTTCCAGACCAGCTTCTCTCTCTGCACACTCTTCACTCTGACCATTACTACCGGGTTGAAACTTCCGAATGACACGAATGCGGAGACAACGATCCGACAGAACTCTCCATCGGAGACAACTCGAAGCAAGAAGCAAAAATGCGTCGACGTCAAAACCGGCACCAAATTCAAACACGGACGGCAGAAAGGCCGCAAGAGTTTGGATCTCCACAAGCTGCTTCAAAGAACAGGCAAGGAGGGGAACGAAAGCCACATCTGTTTTGATCTTCTACGACTTTGAAGGGGGTCGCAAAAGTGGGCAGAGGATTTTAGGGCCGGCCAGGCAACCCTCGTTTAGGCCACTGCAGGCCTACACGTGTCACTGTGACTTGGCCCCAGGGAATCGGGTTGAACTATCTGTGAACATAGTCTAAACATAGTCTAGCAAAGGTGAATAATGTCCTTTTCCTTGTCGATTGATTGTGTTTTTTGGTGTTGAATTCCTAGAGATTTACATTACACCAAGTTATCAATATAATAAATCCAATTTAAATTGATTATATTAACCAATATATGAAATAATATACTATGATATGCAATAAAAAACCAATTCAATGTTTACTCTTTTCAAATTGAATTAAATTATATATATTGACAAATAGTATTAAAATTTTAAAAAATTCCAAAAAAATCACTTATAATTCATTTCTAATAAAATAAATTTTTTCATTTAATAAATAAATTATATTTATAAATTCATCATATCTTTCATATGTAATAAAAATTATAAATATCATATTATTTTTTGACTTGCCAATCAAACTCTAAAATTCGTTTTTCCCTTTTGAACTAACCACTTTTGTACCCTATTGATATGTTCTTGATTTACTGTATTGCATTTTCGAAGATTATCTCATGGAAGTATCAAAGAATAACCTAGTATTCATAGAATGATAATACATAAGACTAACAATCATAGAATAATAATTAAAGTTTCAGATCTATACAATTATTTTATGTCAAATGATCTCCTTACAATAATGTTTATCTTGATTTGCGTTGCCATACAAAAGACCCTCGCTGAAGTAGGCATATTCAAAATTCGAGGTGTATTAATTGAACATATCATGAATCTTCATTTAGAGCAAGATTCGAATTAAACTACTTTTTATCATCATGGCATGTGTCGTGAGGTCCATCCTCATCCCTAATGTTGGAACAGAATTGGATTAAAAATGGATTCAATGTATCTAGTACATTTTTAGTGCACTCTTCCTGGGAAGATTTGTAGCGAAGCTAGGCTTATTTCGGACCAGCTAATCTCAATTAGTCACCTACTACTTAAGAATTGTACCCCCCAAAACTTTGGGGTTCAAGTTGTTGGCTTAAGTGAGAGGCCATTGTATATCAATACTTTTTTATCAAAATGAGCTATGGTACTCTCATGATAGTGGAGAGGCGTCATTGATTGTGATTGCATGTCTCTTTTCTAACATTCTTTTCACATGAGCAATCAGGTTTTCATCCAATTTTTGCTCAATCTAAATATCTTTGATCCGTGGCTTCAATGATTCTTCTTCAAAACAGCTCATGAGATTTACACTTGTCATGAACAAGATGCTATAACTAATCTTTAATCTTTTAGTGTACATATGTAATTATCTTTAGTTAGTTAGAATTAAAATAGAGGTTATTCAAAATAAATTTATAGTTACTTTAGCGTGCACTAGTTATTAGTTGTCATGTCAAGAATCCTTGTGGTTATAAATGTGTTAGTTGACAACATCACGACAATAATCTTTGTGTTTGTTAGGTAAAAATTGAATGTGTTAGTTGAAAAAATCATATCAGTAATTTATGTGCTTGTTATATTTATCAACCAATGTCATCCATCTACTAAAAGTGTGATGGATGGTGAAGATGAGATCTTATCTTGTTGTTAGTTGTTAGTTGTTGGTAAGAGTTATGTAAAGTAGATTAAAACCATTGTTGGTATCTCTCATATTTAGAATTTATGTTTTCATTTTGAAGTGAATTTTTTTCCAAATTTTAAAATTATTTCACCATCTAATAGTACAAATTTTTTTATATTAAATTACATATTTAGACAACTAAATTTATTATTCTTAAATTCTTTTTTTATTTCTAATTTTTTTATTTTATTGAAAAATCGTGTAAGCAATTTTCCCGTCAAGTCAATTTTTCTATGATTATTATTAAAAGAAAAATTTGTTCAAAGTTTCAAAAATTTTAACAACATTATTTTCTTCATAATTATTCACGTCGTAGAATCCTAACAGACATCAACTTCTAGTATCAAATTTATTATTGCTAATGTACAATATTATTGATCTTCCACAAGTAGCTAGCTTGTGATGCATTACATCTATTTCAATTGATGTATAAATAAAAAAATTTATCGTACACATCTTTTAATAAATTGACAAATTTTAATTTCATAATCGATTTTTAAAACACAAGTTTCAAGAATTTTCATGTTGTTTAACATAATGTGTTTTTTGAATGAACACGTCAGACCTTAGTTTGATTATATCCATATATGGTATAATATGATATAATATAATTTTAGCATATAGATATCACTTCGTGATATCTATATGCTAAAATTTGAAGAAAAGTTGAACATTAAAATTCTATTTCAGCATTCAAGTTTTTTAAAAAAATTTCACATACATTTTTTGACTGAAAAATTCTATTGCATGTGAATCCATTCGACTCTACATTTTACTACTTTTCTATAGAATTTTACTTCATTTGCATTTAAAATCAAAGATGACTTTTCATTAAAAAAATCAATTTTTATTACTTTCTTGCAATACTTCTAAATTTGTATAGGCAATTTGATTAATAAATAAAGAGAATTGTCTTACAATCTTTTTTGTGAAAATAAGTGGTAAAAAATGGATGAAAAGCTTTAAAAATTAAACACAACTACTTCATATGAATTTCTTTTGACGTAGAACTTTAAAGTAATGTGTTAAAAGTGTTTAAAAAAAGAAAATTTGTCAAACTTTATGATGCTCTAGATCCAACATTTTTATCATATTGTTAGATCTAAATCATTTTTCAGCTCATGTAAGATTCAAATAAATCACTGAAACTCCAAAATAAATGATCAATAATTTTAGGGGATCGATAAATGGACATCAACTTTTTTATATATGGATATCACCCACTCCGTCTTCTTACTATGCCACGCATTTGATGGAGGAGTAAGGCCGCAGTAGGGTCAAGGTCCGCCTCTAAAGTTTCCCTCGCTAAACTGGGCCCAATGCAGAGGCGAGGTGTCAGAGTTGTAGAGGACTCCCTTGACCCTACCCACCAGAGATGCCCCACAAACTCTCCTTTTCACCTCCACGCTATTGCCGTCACCTGAAGTCGCTTCCGCATCATAGGCCCGACGCGCATTCCCGTCCCTCGCTTGGTAATTTTGTTCTTACCATGAAGGAGACAATCTTCGATCAGAGCACTGCCTGCCCCACATTGTAGACTACTGCTGGTGACGATTACAATTTGTAGTCGTCACCAGCAGCACTCAAGAAGAGTCGGTTCTCAGGTTGCTGCTCTGCTATCCCCCTCCTCCGGGGATATGTACGAGGTGATATCCATATGTCTAAAAGGTGAAGGTGATGTCCGTTTATCAAATTTAGCCTATGAATTTAAATACTGTAAAAAATTATTAAAAATTTAAATTTTAAAAAAAATTTAAATTTTAAATAAGTTTATCCGTTCTATACATAGTGTATGAGTAGGTTTTACATTGATTTGAAAGTAACAATTTTGTAGTGTAGATGTATGAACATCCTGAAAGCTTAGAGATCTGGTGAAATGAAACTTATTCAAAATTTCTTTTCAAGACAGTTCCATTAAAAATTCTGAACTTAACGGTTCACACAATTTTAGTGCAAAGATAATGCAAATTTTTCCAATTTAGTGAACATTGTATATACCAGACATTGTTAACTGTTTATTTGAATAATTTTGATGATTCATGCCATAATTCAAATGGCGGAAATGACAGTGGCATGTCTTACTGACCTTAGGTCAGTAAGACAGCGTAATTACAACTTCTAGATCTGATTCTTACAGCATATAATCAAGCTTATTTTTAATCTGGAGCGGAAGTTGAGTACAAAATCACGTTCCTGCCACAACTTAGATACTAATGTTCCGCACTGCAGACCCAGCCTACTGAAGACAGCACAGACACTTTGAGATAGAAAAACAAAACGGATTCTTCTCTGATGCAATAAAGAGACGCATGGGAATTGCTTACACAATTGTTCATGCAGGATGGTCAACCTGTGCATGCTGTGGCTTATAGAATCCAACTGTACTTGCCCCAGTTTTGGATCGATAACCTGCTGGGCTTCGTGAAAACATAACAGAAGGTACAAAAGTCATATACTGTTGCGGTAAGTATGAAAACTGAAATTTGTACAACATAGTTGGTTACTATGCATACTTCGGAGAGATACATTATCAAGACCAAAGTGCAATAGCCTCGGAACAGAAGTTTCACGATTTCAAATACATTCACAGATTATTATTATTATTATTCTTATTCACAGATTGCTGCAGTTGCTTGAAGTGATAAGATTTATGGAGAAAAATCACAGTCCAAGATATATGTTGCTGTGTAAGCATTAGGTGCAGGCTTCAGAATGAGCAACCAGAAAGTTTGCTTATCTCCCTTTATTTATGAACTTGTTGCAATCATCTCACAATTCAATAGCGTATAACTATGTACAGTTGCGAACACTTCGACGGCCTGGACCTAACCTATCCATGGCTAGACCAGTGTCAAGATCGAATCCAAACTCAAAGGCTTATAGTCCGCTGCCTTCGTGCGGATCGACAAGTTTCAACAAAAAAATTCTAGCAGGATGCTGAGCATTTCTGTACATGTATTTTCGTGGATGTCAAGAACTACATATTCCTCTTGAAGATTGGCTCCCGCCTGGTGTCAGTCGAACCATCAAGAGTGGACAGCGGCCGAGCTTCGAAGTGCTCCATGTTTATAACTTATATTTTCAACAACAGCAGCATAGAATGTCGAGACAACACTCACAGGTCTCATAGCAACAAAAGCAGCAACAGAGAGTGAAGGCGCTGCACAGAGATTTCAACATAAAATCAGAGTCATGACTTTCATCATTGCCTTGATAACAACTTCTTCTGAAGTCTACCTACACCATCTGATGTCATTCTAAACGAAACCTGAATCTCTCTTTTATTGTTGCCTCTCATCGCCTCAATACAATTTTAAGCAAAGAAACATGCAATGAACTGCATAATCCCGGGCCCAGATTGTGAGGCGAAATAGAGGGATTCAGTATTTTCAAGTGGCACGTCAATAGACTGCCGGCTGATGCGTCACTGTCAAGATGATAATATTCTTACCAGGCGTACAAACATCCTCTGTCCTCATTTCGTTTCTGGATGTGTTCCGTGGCGGACATATTCTGATAAACTGGAGCGTCCATGATGCTCTGCTTCACACATAGACCAAGGTTATTGAAAACATCAGAACTTTGCCAGAATGCCACTTTTGGCAAAAGCATGTGCTAGAGGTAATCTTAGAACAACCATAACGAAAAATGCGCAAATGCTTCGGGTTATCAAAAACAATCGAAGACCTCCAAGTTACTGACTCAAGGTCTCAAGTGAGTCTTTCTTGGACTAATGCAGGGAGCCAATTGACTGAGGTTTGTAATCTGAAATCCGAATGACAGTTTTCTTGAAGATTAGTTTGTTCGAACTCTACATCTTCCTCGTAGCAAAGTCACCAGTTATATCTAACCCATGCTTGTTGGAAGAGGAAGTCCCAGATCCAAGAACTGCAGTACTATGTAATTGCACGTGCATATTATAAATCAGTGCTTACTCTCTAGCATACAGAGTGATACATGGAACGCTTCGATGTGAACAAATTCGTGGGGATTCAGCAGGACTCACCTCACCTGATTTGAAGACGAAGACTCTGAGGGAGGAATCAGCTGCCACAAGTCACCACAATCTGTTTGCTGTCACAGCTGCACACACAAAGATATACTGGCTCCTGCGAGTCCAGACGTATATATCTTCCTGATTTATGAACCCTGTGCACGTGGTTCGTGAAATAATTTGTGTGTGTTTGGAATTGGTGTCCAGAAACTATATAAGGCTGGGGGAATTGAGTCCGGGGACAAGGGGTTGTGCAGCGAGGCCAGCCAGGGAGGCGTTCCTCATTCTCGCTGTCCTGGCACGCAGCAGTCTCGGCCTGTCCACAACTGCCGGTTCGAACCCAACGAGATCTCTCGATCGGAATATTAGAACTCGATCCATCGCCATGCGGTGACTTACGCTGAGTCACTCCAGACTGGTTCAAGTGTCTGCAGACACTTGAACCAGTGGAGTTCTTTAAGAAAAGCTAGAGTAAAATAAAATGGTAAACCTTAATTACATTCTTCTGATCCAGTCACACTACATGTGCTACCGAATGACTTCTTTGCAAATCGTTCGTATTTTATAATAGAAATGCAATCATTATTATGAAATGATTTTGGGAGGGATCAGTGGGTGCACTTTGCGTCATTGCACGTAAGTTTAGAAAATGACTAGTTTTTCTCTGATTCGAAACAGCGACACCACGATCGGACTCAAAGATTGATTGACTAACAATAATGAACACTACATGAACTTGTGCCCCTTACGAGAGCAGATCATCGTCGTCTCCATGTCGTAAAGAGTCCCAGAAAAAACTCAGTTTGTCAGCGGCTCTAGAAGGTAAACGAGGGTGTAATCGAACAGAAAATGTAGAGGGGACGCTCTAACTCTGAAGCAGCCTCAGTAAGCTAAATCTGTTCCTCCCGATAGTTTTTCGGTTACAGCCGAATTCCCTGATCAAGGATCCGTCAAGCGAGTGCCGAACCTGTCTGGGAACGGCAGAGCGTGTCGAAGAGATCGGTATCAACTACGAACCTGCACATGCGCCGGATCCCAATCCGACTTCCGTGACGTCGAAGACAAATCATGCCGGACGTAGATCAGAAGGCTTTCACAGGTTCTCTCCTTTAGAGATTTTGTGAGCTGGAGATGACGGATCATGGAAGACCGGATCCCCAGAACTACTCTCAAATCCGGACACCGCGAGCTGTCACGCGTCGCACTACGACGCTGTGACACCACAGAAGGTCGGTATCAAATCCTCATGAGGCTTTGTCTGCGACATGTTTGTCACCGGATCTCAGCCGCGATCTCAGCGGCTGAGATCCTGCGTTGAACTTCTTTGACCCATCGAATGCGACCTCCGACCCGATGGCGCGCGACGGAGGCTACTGGGAGATACATTCCGAAGAACGAATTGATTTGTTCGGACATGGACTGGAGCAGTCGCTGGCTGATTTCCTATGGAGCAGCAGAAGGAGAAGGCTCGGTCGAGCTCGGCCAGATCCGCCGGGAGGCGGAAGTAAGATTTACCCCCATCTCGACAGCTTCTGGAATGATCGGCTGCGAAGGTGATGGTGGTGGCGGTAGATTGTGAGAGGTAGGTTTGAGCTGATCGGTGTTTTCTCCGTTTAGCTGTGCAGTGCCTTTGGACGATAAAATTTCAGCGATCTGGAGCCTGCCCTCGAGGTAGCGGCGGTCCAACCAGGGCATGTGTCGCGATGGTGGAGATCGAGATCAGTCACGTTGTCATCACTTTGACTCGTCTTCTTGTCGGTTCAGTAGAATCTTCGGAACTATATATCTACAGCAGGTGATGACTGGTGTCGCATTGGACGCAGTCGCTCGGTTGGATGCGATGGGATGGGATGTCTAAAGTCGTGAGGTTTCGGACCTCATCACACGAGACAGAATACAGAATGATTGTTCCTTCACAAGTGAAGCAAGCAAGCAACCGAGTGCCCCGTTCCCCGTGCCTCGCAAACTCGGAAAACTGCAATTGCAGGCATGGATTTGGCAGCCACAGGCACCAAGTCACGCCTACGTTTGTCGAAGATCGAAGAGCCTGCTCGTTTGATTTACGACTCTGTTTCTTAGAGAGCGGATGGAGTTACTTCATGACGAACGATAGTGTCGGCAAATCCACAGCAAGTACTTTCAAAGAGCCAAAATCTATTTCGAAATTGTTGGAAAGTCGTCGTGAACCTCTCAGGAGCTAAGTTCGTCGGCTAGTCCATCGGATGTAAACGTGGTCCAGAAGCAACGTGAATTAATGAGTTCACTCCTCATGTCGGTCAAAATGCAACACAAGGTTTCTCCCACGTGCTCAGCTAGCCACATTCTGCTACGCAAATTGAGAAGAAGATGTAGGGAACTTAGAAGAATTGTAGGAGTGTAGTTGTCGAATTATTGAGCGGAGTATGGTTGGAGCAACACTCGCTCAATCGTATGAGCGACTGAAGACCGTCGGGTACATGAGAGTAAACAAAAGTCCTCGAGTTTGTTGCCTTGGACAAATTATACGAACCGGATTTACGTGGTGAGGACGACCACAACTACATCCGGACAAACTTTCCTCCCTCCCCTGCTTTCTATACTACACATAATGTTTTATACTGAGACTTCACCTCATCCACTCCGAAGTCGCTGCACGCAACATCTCCTTCCTTTCAGCTGGTCTTCAGTAAAGCTTTTAATTCTTATAAGAGAGTATGTGCGTTGAAACATCCCGGAAACAGCGGAAAGTAACTTTTGTGCATCGGAAGACATCATACAGCACAACGAAAGCACGTGAATTTTCGCAGAATTTTCAAACTTTCCGTTGAAGCTCACCAGTAGTAGCGATCCGGCCTGCTCGTATCAGATGAGTCAGGTACGTTCGTCAAACGTGTTCGACTCTAATAAGTGAGGCCAAATATAGCAGTCTTAGTTATTAAGTCGTGGAAAAGATGCAGATTTTGACTCTCTCAGTCGGCAAGTCTAATCTGCAGTCGCATGTCTAACGAACTTCCACAAACCGCGAAATGCCAGTTTCTAGTTACAATTTGATTCATCCTCCAACGGCTTGACGTGGTCTCTTCCCATCCTTTTGCTATTTGTGTGAAGAAGGAAACATGTGAAATAACTGCCACTGACGAAGATCTAGAAGAAAACCTTGCCCCTCATCTAGCCTCGATGTGACCTTTCTACGCACTCGCAAGTATTCAATCTTTAGATTTTTGCTGTGACAAATGTATCATCAATTCCTCAAATTTGTCATGTTTCTCTCATGCTGGATTTGTAAACACTCTCAGGCTCTATCAAATAATGCATTCAATCATGTGAACTGTTATCATGTGGCTAATTATGTTTGACAAGAAATAGTCTAAGATCCTACTAAACATATGGAAGGAATTTGATATTAGTTCTGCAAAAACATGCAGCTCTATCTCATATCAATTTCACATTACTTTCGACCAGCAATTGAGGCGTCTCGGTTTCAACTCACAGACTGTTTCATTGCCCTAATCACAAAGATAATGTTACATTCGGAAACTACAGTAGTTTTTGAATATTTTATTGAAATTCATAGTACATTTAGTTATGCATATTTCACAAATAAATTATCAATCCATACATAAACTTTCAAGTATAAACATCTATAGAACAATTGACTTACAATTGTTTTAAGATTTTTCCAAAATTAGCAACTGCTCAACCTAACAAGGATTTGACATTTTTCAAAGAATATCAAAATTTTTACAATTCTAGAGGTAGTGGAATTTATATAAATCATTGTTACTCAATTCATTTATTGCAATTACCAAATCAAATATCAAATCTAGTCCACAACAATAATACATGATTTTTCTCTTTATTATCATGTGAAATGAAGTACAAACTTCTTTTTCAATTGTATTTTTAAAAAATGAGCAATCTAGAGTTAAAATTGTGTTAAAAAATAATCTTGGAATGTTTAAGTTGTTAAGCAGAAGGTAAATAGTATATTTTTACTAGATCAAATTCTTTTAATAAAAATAAATCTTGACATTTTCTATTTTAAGATTTATTTTGATTTTTTTGAATTAGCCCAATATTTTTTAAACTTGATATGATCAAATTTTAAAGTACATTTGGATCAATTTACACAAGATTTTTTTCCTCATTATCACTATGTCTCTCACATCTACTATTAACCCAAGGAGTACTAAGATACCATAATTTATTCTTTTAAGTATATGCACAACAATTTAATATAAATTATTACGCTGCATCGTATGTTCTTTGAGTTGAACTCCTGCAGTATTTCTGGAAGTGACAGCAGCATGAGAATTCAAACTCCTCAATAGACTGTTAAATATGTGTGTAATGACAGATAAATACCAAAATGGAGCATAATGGTATAAATCCGATCCCACGAGGACAGAAACAAACACAAAAGTCACGATTTGTCACCCGATAGCATTCTATTACGAAGTTTTACTTCTTAGGCCAATGCTTCTCCCAGAAGACACTACTCAGCTAGATGCGAAGACTCACAGGGTAGTGCAAAACCGTATTCACAACCTGAACCTTTTCCAATCAAAACCTGTGAGAATTGCAAGCGATCCCACACTTATATTTCAGGGGGAAAACGTCCCAGCACTGCATACATCTCGACACACTGACCCGAATACTCAGACCTGAACTTGCTTAAATCCCGCAGTAACCCCAGGCTACCCAAGACATCCAAGCTGAATACTCACAAATCCCGATGCGGTAACTTCGATAACCAGTAGCGCCCTGTGCTCAATGTCTGGATCACACACCAGCACATAGACACACAGCGAAGACCGAATGACAGTTGAGACAAGCCAATAGACAGAAAAGCTTCCCAAGGAAATAGTCTTGAGCCTCTTTATTCACAATGGCAAATCTGGGATATCAACCGCCTGAGGCGAATCGGCCTCAGGGACTATGCCATCCGATGTAACGGTTACAGCATTGTCTTAACTACTCTCTACTCCTAATCTACGGAACACGTTTACAATCTCTACTTCTACATTCTGGTGCGCCTCATTCAATTATTCTGAAAATGAATTAACTAACTCTACAATCTGTTTGTGTCATGCGGATCCGCTGGTCTTCGCGCTCATCAGCCGTCGCTCAAGTAGATCTAGCTTCAACCACTTCACCGAATCCAATCCCCACATCGCAAACCCGTTCATGCACTTCTCTAACCGCAATCTCAACATGTCGGTTGAATCCTCCCGCAGTTGACGGTAGGCATTATCTACCTTTTCCATTCTCCTTTGCGAATCTTCCGATCTCATCTCCGCCTTCCCTAACTGCTCCCGTAACCGTCGACAGTCAGATTCAACCTTTAATCTACATTCGACCTCCGAAGACTTGGCCGACTCGCAATCTGCCAATTTCTTGGCCCAATCCACTAACTCCTCCTCATGCTTCTGGTTTCCCGCCGACAGACTTGCTGATAGCTACTCCGCACGTCAGAATTCCATTGCATACTTCGCTTCAATCTCCGAGATTTTCCTACGAAGATCTTACTCCGCCGTCTTCGTATCTGCGAGTTTGCTCCGAAGTTTGCTCGTATTCGGCGATACGAGCTTCTTCGGCTCTTAGGGCTTCCAACTTAGCAAGTTTCTCGATGTACATCTTCTTTCGCTTCTCCGCAATAATGATCAGCCGCTCCGCTCTTTTGCTTGCCGCCTCGTAAGCTTCCATGGATTTCTCCAGTCTCGCTACCAAATCCACTGTTACTTTCTGGACATTCTCATTAGAGATACGAAGTCCTCTACAGGCCTCCTCCAACTCTGCACAGCGCCCGGATTCCTTCTCTAGGTTCTGCTGCAGTACCTTGCACTGAGTTTCCTTCTCCTGAAGCTGGGCTTCTCGCTCTCG